ATCCACCCTTCTGAGCATGATGTCCTTCTCCAAGGACCGATTGCTCCTGGCTATGTGCCCAAAGTACAAGATGCGAAATATGTTTAAGTTAGTGTAGATATAAGTGAGGTTTCTTGCTTTCTTCTATTTCTTTTTTGGTGACTGGTAAATGATGGTAGCAGTATAGGTGAATTTCTGTATATTTTATGTTTGAGTACAAAGGTGTATTTGTGCTGCTATTAAACTTTATCTCTTTCATTCCTGTAGCCACTCGAAATTCTCTGACTTTGATTTCATGGCAGGAGCTTACAGGTAAATATGCCTTCTGTTTTGGGGAATAATGTTTTCCATAAAACTAGCTAGTTATCCCCATTCCTTGCTCACATCTTCATTTTTGTTGGGGCCACAGTTGTAAATTTTTTGGACACTATCTATGAATCCTGGGGCTGTCATGGCAAATAGGACTTACTTTTCTCTCTGGGGATATTCAGATGTTGGGAGGACTGCTGTTGCTGGTGATCAAGTCTCCAGAGGTAGAAAACTTTGTGGCTAGACTAGACAAATTGTTTCTTGAATGATCTAAATTGGACATCAACAACTGTAGACCATGGACTAAATTGGATCATAAGACTGTTTTTGTAAATAATGTTTTTCTGGAACATAATCATGCTAGTTTATTTACATATCTTCTATACCTGTTTTCAGGCAACTATGACAGAGTTGAGCAATTGCTACAGGGATACAATGACTCACAATGCCTATTTACAAACTTACACAGAAAAAAAATAGTCACCAACTCTGATCTAGAATAGTATTTGGAAACTGAGTTATACAGAACACTATTTTCCAGGAGTTAATTAATAATTCCTTTTAGAAAAGGATTCTATATATACTTAGGATCAGAAAATGCAAGATTTAACAAAATTAAACAATTTATTATACTGGATGACATCTCAGAACCCCTTCATATGTTAGTATGCATCGAGAAACTAAAAGGGGATTTCCCTAAGCTATCTGCCCACAGAAAGTCCTTTGTCCCAGCTCTCCTATCTTGAAAAATAGTATCCTAGGATAGACTTATTTGGGAAATGTCAAGCTAGATATTTACTTAATAACTCTGTGGATTAATTTTTCTAATTATAGGAGATGAAAAAGATATAGTATGCTTAAGCTTACTAGCTTTTTTCCTTTTAAAAAATTTTAAGTTAACACTCTATTTTAAACTGTCAATGTGATTATTTTTTCTTCTTCTTTTTTCTTCCCCTTTTTGTATATTATTGAATAGGATCTAACTGGCACAGTAGGAGATTGCTCCTCCTTCTCCAGCAAAGCACCTGGTGAATTTGAACCATGCACCTTGGGTATTGCAGTGCACCTTGTTGCCACTAGGTCACCAGAGCTCCCCTGTCAATGTGATTTAAAAAAAAGAATAATATACAATTTTTATTTTATACTTGTTTACTTACAAAGCTCACATACATTGTTTTTCACACTGGATCTTTCCTATTTTCTTTACCCACCTCTCCCTCCACTCATAAAATTGTGCGACCCTGTGATTAACCACCCCTCTCCCCCCGCTGCCTATCCTCACCCCTCTGCTCCCACCCCTCCTTGGATCCTTATACATGTTCTACAATAATGGTCCTATACAGTATTAGTCCTTATGGAACTGAGCTAGTTCACTTAGCATAATGCTCCCCAGTCCCTCCCAAGTGAGCTAGTGATTTACAAAATCATTGCTCTTACTAGCTTTTGACAGACATGTGTATAAATTACTTACTCTGCCACCTTCTAGCTGTCAAACCTCGGGCAAGTTCCCTAGTTCTTTTTTCTTGAGATTTTAAAGAATATTAACAGAAAACTGATTTCCATTCATTCATTGTTGCACATTTTCCTCCCTACCCCACCCCAGTTTGCTTTTCTCTCTAAACAAAAAATTCTTTTATTCTGGAAGTTCCATAGTTCTATAAGCAGGATTTGCTATGTAATCCTAGGGGTGTGGTAAAAATCAGTACATCGATCCTGTTGTTCAGATATTAAGAATTTTAAGACAGCAACAGTAAAGTGTTAAACTACACAGAGGGTTCTTCTGAGTGCTTGGACCTATAGAACTACACAGATTATACATCCATGAAGCCAGCCCTAGTTATAGATTTTTTTTAATACTTATCAAAACACCTGGTTGTAGGTTTTGGAAAATTTTCATGGGATTGTTGTGGAAACAAAATCTACTGATATGTATAAAGGACCTAGTACAATAACAATGGGTGACACAGAATGAAAAATCAAACCCCAAACCTGTTGCTGACAATTTGATTCCAATATATGGAGTAGGTGCTAAGGATTCTAAGGCTGTAATTTCTACAGAAACAGACTGCCATATCTCTTTCCCACAGAGCACCTGATGGGTTCAAACTGCCAACCTTTCTACCTAACTTAACCATTGAGTGACAAGGGCTGCTAGGCATAGCATAGGCAGTGATAAAAGAGCTTGTTTTTAATTGAAAATAATTTCTAGCCATATTTGATACATATTTATTGTAATTATTATGCTAGTTTTCTCAGGATACTTTGGTGAAGAAAACATGTAAAGTGATGGTTTAGTGGGAAAGAATGAATAAATTTAAAAAACCCAACACCCCATAAGCAAGAGAGTGGTTAATTTTGCTAGGTGCTGTTAAGGCAAAAATAAGAGTATAGGGATGGAGAAGAGGGTTTGCTTTCATTTGGATGAGCCAGAAAGTCCCCTTTCCAAAGGTACTATTTAAAGTTAAATCTGAGCCGGAGGAAGAATGTTGAAGGCCGAGAACATAACCAGTGCAGAGACCTGTAGTGGGAAAGAATGTGACATTCTTGAGATGGCTTAGGCTAGAGCAAGGTTCCACTGCTTTGTTTATAAGGTCACTGAGTCATGACTGACTGACTCAGTGGAACCTAATAACAACAAAAAGTAGGTTAGCATACATGTCACGCATATTTTCACAAAAAATTAAAAATTGTCCAGTGTAGCTTTAGTGTAGAGTGAGGAGAATAATAGAAAATAAACTGGGGAGGTAATTAGGACTCGGATGTCTTGAATAAGGACTTTACACCAGGTGACACAATCTAATTGATAGGGAACTTTGGTGGCCTAGTGGCAAGAACCTGTGCTGCAGTCCAAGGCACGTTGTTTGAGGCTGCCAGCAATGGGCAATCTCCTCCCCTGTGAATAACTGCCTCTGAAAACTTGATACTTTTAGAAAATCAATTTGGCTGTTTTGTGAAAGTAGAAGGATATTTCAGCAGTCTAAAAGAGTTGATAGTGCTTTGAATTTGCATGTGTTTGTGAATGGATTTGAGGTGATTTTGAAGATGTAAATGATAGATATTGCTGATTGTATGTGGAAGATTAAAAAAACGATGGCTTCTTATAGTTTTCTGAGTAAATCATCTTACTCACTGCTGTTGAGTTTGAGATGATTCGTAACTGACATCTCAGTGAATTTTTGGTGGTAAATGCAAAGCAGATTGCCCATTTTTCTCCCACAGAGTAGATGATGGATTCAAACTGCCTGCCTTTGGATTGGCAGTGCAACTCCTTACCCACTAGGCCACTAGAAACTAATAGCACCATTTAACTGAGACGAAGTACCTGGAGAATGATGGCTTTATATATTTTTGTTGTTAGGGTACTAGGGATATTGTAGCTGATGTTAGATGGAGCTTAGCTGAAAGCAGAGAATACCAGAGGAATGTCTCTCTGTGTTTCATTGACTATGCAAAGGCATTTGACTGTGTGGATCATAACAAACTGTGGCTGACTCTGAGAAGAATGGGAATCCCAGAACACTTGATCGTGCTAATGCAAAACCTATACTTGGACCAGGAAGCAGTCGTCAGAACAGAGCAAGGTAACACCGCATGGTTAAAAATTGAGAAGGGCGTACGCCAGAGATGCATCCTATCTCCATACCTTTTCAACCTATATGCAGAACAGATTATCCGTGAGGCTGGGCTCTATGAGGAGAAATGTGGGGTCAAGATTGGTGGACGATTTATCAACAATCTGTGTTATGCAGATGACACAACACTGCTTGCTGAAACGGAAGAGGACCTGAAGCACCTGCTGCAGAGGGTCAAGGAGTGCAGCCTCCAGTTTGGATTGAGGCTCAATGTCAAGAAGACAAAGATTCTCACCACTGGACCAGTTGGCAGCATGAGGATGGATGAAGAGATTGAGATTGTACACAGCTTTAGTCTGCTTGGCTCCACAGTCAATACTCTTGGCACCAGTAGCCAGGAAATTAAAAGGCGCATTGCCATGGGAAAGTCTGCTGTTAGGGACCTCTCCAAAGTACTGAAGAGCAATGGTGTCTCTCTGGAGACTAAGGTGCATTTGATACAGGCCATGGTCTTCACAATCACTTGTTATGCATCAGAGAGTTGGACAATGACCAAGGAGGATAGAAGAATTGATGCCTTTGAGCTGTGGTGCTGGAGAAGAGTATTGAGAATACCATGGACTGCTAGGAAAACAAACAGATTTGTCCTGGAAAGGGTTAAACTGGATGGCTCCTTGGAGGCAAGGATTCTGAGGCTCCGTCTAACATACTTTGGACATGTTGTGAGGAGAGACCGGTCCTTGGAGAAGGACATCATGCTTGGTAGGGTGGAGGGACGGCGCAGGAGGGGAAGGCCTTCTATGAGGTGGATTGATTCAGTGACTGGGATAATTGGGATGGGAGTGTCAGAAACAGTGTGATTGGCACAGGACAGAGCAGAGTATAGGGCTGTTGTACATAGGGTCGTTATGAGTCGCAAGCGACTCGACGCCACATAACAACAACAACAACAGGGGAGTTGTCTGGTGCCATTGAGTCAGTTTCAACTCACAGCCATCAAGAAGAGGCATCAAAATCATATGAGGAACCTGTGAGACAGCCAAGTAGAAATGATGATGATGATGATGGCAATGTTAATTATAATTTGTACTGCCATCTAGAATTCTGTGATGACTAATTCTTAGTATTACCTCTTTTCAGATTACCGGGAAATTTTGCAAAAACAACTAAAAGAAAAATATCTGAAAATAGGAACTGATAAATGTTACCACCATGGCAAGCATATTGAACCAAGACTGCTTCTTGTCAAGGAACATGGTATATCAGAAAAGACACCATGCGGCATCCCTCAACAACAACATTTTATTGAGATGGAACATGCTTTTGATCTTGATGAAGAGGGCTCCAGTGCATCCCAAACCGTGGTGATTCAAGGGTGTGCAGGGATCGGAAAAACAGCTGTGGTGCACAAGTTCATGTTCAACTGGGCAGCAGGAATGGTTACTCCAGGCAGGTTTGATTATCTCATGTATGTCAACTGCAGAGAAATAAACCATATTACTAATGTTAGTGCGGTTGACCTGATTGGCTACACTTTTCAAGATATAGAAAGACCCATCTTAGACGTCATTCTGACATATCCAGAGAAGCTTCTGTTCATTTTTGATGGGTTCCCTGAGCTGCAGGACTCTGTAGGTGACCAGGAAGGGGCTCTTACTGCTGATCCCCAGGAGAAGAAAACAGTAGAAGCTCTATTGTGCAGTTTTGTAAAGAAAAAACTATTTCCTGAATCTTCCCTCCTCATTACCGCCCGGCCTACAGCCATGAAGAAGCTGCACTCTCTGCTAAAACAACCTATCCAAGTAGAGATTCTATGGTTTACAGAAGCAGAAAAGAGATCCTATTTTTTGAGTCAGTATTCAGGTGCTAGCATGGCAATGAAAGTCTTTTATGGTCTGCGAGACAATGAAAGCCTTGAAATCATGTCTTCTCTCCCTATCATCTCCTGGATAATCTGCACTGTCCTACAGTCACAGGGAGAAGATGACAAGGCTCTTATGAGGTCACTTCAGACCATGACAAATGTGTATCTGTTCTACTTTTCCAAGTGCCTCAAAACTCTTACTGGTATCTCAGTATGGAATGGACAGAGCTGCTTGTGGGGCCTCTGTTCTTTGGCTGCAGAGGGACTGCAGAAGCAGAAGGTTCTGTTTCAAGTTAATGACCTCAGAAGACACGGGATAAGACTGCATGATATCAACTGCATTTTTCTCAGTCATTTTTTACAAAAAGCAGAAAGAGGTATCAATGTTTACACTTTCCTTCACTTCAGTTTCCAAGAGTTCTTGACTGCTGTGTTCTATGCCCTGAAGAATGAGAGCAGCTGGATGTTTTTTAATCAAGTGGAGAAAACATGGCAAGAAATTTTTCAACAATATGGAAAAGGTTTTTCATCACTAACAATACAATTCTTATTTGGCCTCTTACATAAAGGAAATGAGAAGACATTGGAAACTACTTTTGGAAGAAAAGTCTCTCCAGGACTTCGAGAGGAGTTACTGAAGTGGACTGAAAAAGAAATAAAGGATAAATCCACGAGGTTACAGCTTGAACCAGTAGACTTGTTTCACTGTTTATATGAGATTCAGGAAGAAAAATTTGCAGAAAAGATAATTGGTGACTTACAGTCAATTATACTGCTTCAGCCTACCTACACAAAAATGGACATTCTGGCTATGTCATACTGTGTAAAAAGCAGTCAGAGGCACTTGTCAATATCTTTGAAGTGTCAGCACCTACTTGGATTTGAGGAGGGAGGAAGAGCCTCAGCATTCAGGCCCCCAGCCGTGATGCGTAATCAGTGAGTATATTCATGTCTTTCCTCCAGTTTTCTGACTTTTAAAACAAAGAGCCTCCTTGTTAATTTTGTGTATTAGAAAGTCAGGGCATTGTTGAGAGATAAAATTAATTAATCATAGCAGCTTTCCATATTAGATGTCAATAAACACACTGAAGAGAAACTAAATATCTAACACATATTGAACACTGGTCTAGGTAAACAGACACTGAGGGATACCAACATTTTTGCGTACTTACAATGTTGAGGCACTGTGTTAGCCCCGCTTTTTGTGTGTATTCTAATCTTCAGTGTTCATCATCTACATGTCCTTAATGGCTTTATATAAGGGACATATAAGATCATCATTATTACCAAGAATTCTCCTCTTTTGGTATAGAGGATCTCTGTGGATAAGGTTGTGAATCTATCTGGAGTGGCTGTCATTCTCTAAATGTACTTCATTACTGAGGCCTCAGAGTCCAGGTTATAAGGAGCAGAGCTAGGCATTAAACTTCTGTCTCTCACTGTAAAGCATAGGCTCTTTATACCAAACCTTGTAGCTTCCCAGGTTTCAGTGCTGAAGTTCTAAGAGGCTTAGGTAAACCACTTTCCTAATAATGAATTTTGTTTATATACAAAAAAGTACACTTCTCTGACCTATTAACTATAGGTCACCATTTTAAAAATCAAGTAACTTTTTTAAGCTCTTTTATAATATAGCTAATTCTTGGATGTCAGTGCGAATACAAGAACTCATCATGCTTGAAAACTAGGAAAGTTAAATAGTAAACTCTAACTTGGCCAAAAGGCTTGGGATATAAACTATAGTATGAAAGACAACATAAACTTGTACTATCTGTATTCTACTTAAGGTGAATAGTGCCTCAGTCTTTTGCCAAGAGGGAAGAGTGGGCCGTGTATGAACCTATGTGTTCTCTTGTAAAATAATGAGCAATAGTGTGAAGGTGTAAATAAGCATAGATTATGGAATTGAAGTAAGGAAGGAGGGGAAGAAAGGTATGACAAGAGCTTTTGTTTGAGACTAGATGGGGAAGGGAAGAACAGATTAAGTAGACTCAGAATATGAAGGACTTTGGCTACGAGGGTTTGAAGAATGTCAGTCCAGCTGTATATTGTTAAGAACATAGTGAGCTGGTAAATTGGAAAGATTTTTAAACACTGGCAGAAACAAAGGGAGTTTTTAGAAAATCAGCTTTAGATGGAGTTTCCACGCTCAAATTAAGCCTTGTTGCCAGAGGCAATAAATTTTAAAAATTTAACCTAAGACACCACTTTCCCAAGCCTTTTGGCCAAGTTAGAGTTTACTATTTAACTGTCCTGGTTTTCAAGTATGATAATACGTTCTTATATTTGCACTGAAATCCAAGAATTAGCTATATTATAAAAAAGAGCTTTAAAAAGTTACTTGACTTTTAAAATGGTGATTATAAACTCACATACTTTGGGCATATTGCCAAGGAGTCCATGGAGAAGGACATCCTGCTTGAAAGGGTGGAGGGACAGTACAGGAGAGGAAGACCCCAGATGAGATAGACTGACACAGTAATGGAGGAAATGGGGGTCAGTAGATGTGTCTCAGAGACAGTGAGACTGGCTCGGGATAGAACAGGGTTGAGATCTACTGTGTGGTCGTTGAGTCAAGGTCAACTTGACAGCACATAACAATAATCATCGAGTTAAGGACTGAGGATAATAATGCATGTATGTCAAATATTTACTTTTTGCCTAGCACATTTTAAAATGGCTTTGCAAACTGACAGACCTGAGTACTGACCTTCATCCAGTTACCATACTTTTTTGTGTTTTAATTTTCTTATCTGCACATTGAAGTAGTACTTCTCAAGGATTTTAGAAGCAGAAGCTAAGGTAATATCATGGTAACATAAAACTTTTGCTTTTGGGCAGAAAAAGTTTTAAGTTGTTTTTACTTCTCATCTCTTTTAGGTCATCTCAGATGCGCAATTTACCATTGTCTCAGCTACACTTCCTCTGCAAAGCCCTGCGCAGTCCAAACTGTAAAATAAAACACCTAAAGTAAGTTGAACTTTGCTTTAAAAAAAAAAAAAGCCTGGTATTTGCAAGCAAAGACTAGGTTGTACCCCTAGCCAGTCAGATCTGAAAACAAAGTTAACTAGTGTTCAGCTTCGTCATAGCAGAGCAGCAAATGAAAAGATAGGCTACAGGACTAGAAAGAAATGGAAGGCATATGTCTCTGCCCTTAACTCCTGTCCAGATGTATATCTAAGGTGTGGCACATGCCCTGGGTGCCACTTGAAGGGGAACACACCACTGAGCAGTTGCTATTGAGCATCACAGTTGCTGTCACCAGCTGTGAAAGATCACTTAGAAAGTTCAAAAGAGTACTTTCTGATTTAAGAGCCTCCCATGAATCAAGGCAGGCTGTGTGATCTTGCACCGCTGAGTGTAGAAAGAAGAGAAACCAGGGCAGGGGTGGAGGGTGAATGACTTTGAGTACATCATAGACAAATTTTCATCCTTGAAAGCAAGGAAGTGCAGCTGCAATTATCCTGTAGTGTTAAATAAAAGATTAATGAGCTTGATTTGTATCTTTGAGCTAGCATTATGGTTATCAGAATGATGAGTACCAGATGTTTGAACAGGGACTCAATTTTGGTGCTTGCCATAGGCGCTATTTTTCATACATCTGCCTCTGTTCCTTCCTTTTCCTTTTTTGTATATGCAGATTTTGCTATAATTAGTGGGTGGCAGGTTATAGCACCAGGAGATGTGGATCTGGTGCCTCTCCTGGATCCATATCCTTTTCTTCTCAAGTTCCTACTGCCCCACCTCTTGATTTTTCAGCTTAGTCCTATTGGATTCCATATAGCTTGAGGAGTCTTCTCTCTTCCTCCTCTATTTTTCATCCTATCCCTGTTATTCTAAAAAGTGCCAATACCCCGAAGCCTCCACACTATCCTGCCCTCCCATCTTCACTCACTCAAGGTTCCTTGTCTGTCTACATCATAGACATGACATAGTTCTGTAGACTCCCAATCTTACCACAGATCAGCGTCTGCCTTCCTTCTCCCTTCTTATCCCAGAGAAAGAGGTGACCTTTCCTAACCCACCCACACAAATGCATTGTTTTTTAAAAAAATTTGCTAATATTTCATTATTTAACTTTGCACAATACAAAAATAATATAAAAATGTGAAGGCCTTTCCCTGTTCTACTCAGATTACCTCATAACCCTGCACCCTATCACCTCCCATCTCTGGTTCTGATCCCACAGCCCCTTGGTATTATCTTTTTGGTAATGTCTTTTAGATCTTTTTCTATATGTATATATCTGTAAATGTAAACCTATAAATATACATAGTACTTAACAGTACTTAGGAAGGTTGGGTTTTTTTAACATTTTTTTCACGTTTGTTTGTTGTGGGGTTCCCCCCAATCTAACAACAGAGTAGATACCCACTCATTTAACAAGGGTGGATATGTCAGCTATATAGTATATACAGGATTTACCACATTCTTTTATATTTTCATTCATTTTAAAGGTCTCTCCAGCTATCTCCTTTGTGTCTCACATTTCTCCCATGTTCAAAATAGCCTTCCTCACCTCTTTCCTTTCCTTGAAGAAAGTCTCCCTGCCATAGACTTCCTCACTTCCTACTTCTCTGCCGTTTTTCTTCTGCCTCATTACTGCCCTGGATCAGTGCACACTTCTTAATGGGGCCACTCTGCAGCTCCAGGCACTGCCAAACATGATCCTCTTAAAACTCTTTTTTCTTTTCAGCCTGAGACCATCTCTTTTTCTGACTCTTCCTTCATGACTGCTCCTTTAGTATCTCTCTGCCTTTAACAGAGGGTAGTTTTACCAACCGACTTGTTTCTTGTTATAGAAGTCCCTCAGAATATGAATAAGCTTCTCATCCATTTCATTCCTGAGGACTCTTGGGATTCAGAAATCCCCACTATCTGCCACCCTTAGTGCACTTCTCCAGCTAGTTTAACATTTTCTTCGATGGTCTGTTATTTTTGCCGTTGCTCTCCCAGTACCAGTTTCTGACTTTGGACATAAGCGGGCCGCCCTGAACAGGGACCTATACTCAAGCTAGCATAATGAAAAATTCACAGCTTGCCGCCACAGGAAGATCCAGTCCACCAATCTGCACACTATCATGGGAGCCTTCTATGCTGAGGGGCTTCAGAATCTCTTCTGCCCCTTTGGGGTTTTTTTTTCCACTTTGGGGTTTTGAAGATCTAGCCCTTGGATCACTACCATCACACCAAAATGTTACCACAGAGTAGCCCTGCCCAACATGGAGCTGTCTCAAGTGTAGGTCCTGCAGTGACGGTGGCTGCTGGTGTGGGTGGGGCTTGGAACCAGAATAAAGGACGTAACAATGAGTATATGAATGTGGCAAGTAATTGGAAAGGAAGTGAGATACTGGGCCAAGCCTCAGAGAAAGAAAACATAGTTGTTTTCACTAACCTGAGCTTGCTTTCCCGCGTCGCAGAGGTGACAGTTTTCCACTCCATATTTCCAAGAAGCGCTGGGAAGCTTCTCCCTGGCTCCTGGGCTGCCTCAGTAGCAGAGTTTGTGGGATCCCCTGCCACATGCCTCTCCTTTTCTTCTCCTGTAGCAGCAGCATCAGCCAGGCTTGGCTGCCCTGTAGTTACTGCCTCCTCTTCTCCCTTCTCCAAATTCTTGCCTTCTCCTTCTGTCCCAGCCCCACTGGCAGCGACCAGGCTTAGTAGCCTTGGGGCCACTGCCTCCTCACCTTCTTCTCTATCAAGTCTACTGGTAGTGGCAAAGTATGGTCGCCCTCTGGACACTGTCTCCTCTTCCACTTCCTTACTATCAGCTTCTGACTCAGGCTCACTGGCAGTGGCTGGCCTCAGCAGCTCTGTGGCCACTGACTCACCTTCTCTTTCTGTTCCAACCCCACTGGCAGTGGCCTGGCGTGGTTGTCCTCTGGACACTGTCTCCTCCTCATCTGTGTCCTTGCTATCTCCTTCTGACCCAGCCTCACTGGCAATGGCCAGGGTTAGCAGCTCATTCGCCACTGCCTCCTCTTCCTCCTCACTTTCTGTTCCTGTCCCACTAGAAGTGGCCAGACTTGGCCATCCTGTGGAAAGTACTTCCTCTTCCTCCACATCACTTTCTCCTGTCTCAGTTTCACTGGCACTAACTATCCTAGACCACCTTGGGGCCACCGTCCCCCCTTCCTCCTCGCCTTCTCCTGTCCCAACCCTACAAGCAGTTGCTAGGCTTTTCCACCTTGTGTTCCACACCAGAGGTCGCTGCATCTCCTGGAAAGAAGAGAGCAGTTAAGATTATCTGGAGTGGAGTGGGAGGGGAAGAGAAGGGCAAAGGAAGAGTAGTAGAGTTAGTGGCAAAAGGGGCAGGGCAGGGGAGAACCCTGGGAGGTGGGGCTGGGGAGAAGCCTGGGGAGTGGGACAAGGAGCAATGGAGGGACAAGACTGGGAATTACAATCTTACAGCCTGTAGGAGTTTTCGCCTCAACAGATTGCATTCCTTTCTCATCTCCTCCAGGGAGTTCTGGAGCAACTGCAGCTGGAAGGCTGCTTCCTTGTGTTCCAGTTCTTGCTGCGCAGTGAGCTCTTTAAGGTTTGTGGCCAGGGCCAAGGCGGCTGACCTGTGCAGCTTGGCAAAGTCATTCAGCCATTGCACTCTGCGCTCCAGCAGCTGGCTAAGCCTACAGGCAGAACTCAAGCCCAAAGCCAAGCTGCCCCAAGCACAGGCCTCCTTGGCCTTTCTGGGCACAGCGTTGTCCTTCAGGATGACTCTGAGCTTGTTCTCCACCACATCCCAGGGCAGGGACATATTTTTGAGGTAGAACTCGGGGCCTTTTGCATGCCCAGCTATCTTCTCATTGATGAAGGCCACCACCTCAGTGTATTGGAATCCAGCACACGGATCCTCAGGATTCAAGGCCATGAGTACTGGGAGTGTTAGTGGTTTTTCTAGTTCTGTTAGGAGAAAGAGCAACCAGTTTTGTTCTGTGCTGCCCCCTTATTTTCCTCCCCCTCTGCCTCTAACCCTTGGAATGATCTGCTGAGCCCTTAAGATACCTCTTGTTAGTCCTCACCTGTCTTTGATTTCAGAAATGTACCAGCCAATGGAACAGACCACACCTACACAGAAAAGACACCTGTACCTTTCTCCTTCCAGAGGCTCCAGCACAAAGAAAGCCTAAGGGCAACCCACAAGGCCTCTACACTGGGATGTTCCAACTTACAGAGACTACAGGGGTGTGGGGGAATGCATAAGGAAGCCCTCCCTCACCCTGCCCCTCACCCCTAGGATGTTGAGGCCAGAAGGCTTCAATATGGCACAAAAACAAGAGTCATCAGAAAAGGCTTGGAACCAAGAAAATAAAATCCTTGTTATCAAGTTAAAAAGTACACCCTCCATAATGGTCTGTTCCAAGCCAGGTAGGTAGAGTCTACCTACAGGAAATACCCCCACCCCCACAGTGATCTGAGATAGCCCCTTGAAGGAAGAAGGTGGAGCCAAAAAACCATCCACCCCATTTGCTCACTGGCACCCTAGTGAATACTAGTCATCCTAAATAATCACAATCCCTGACCATTTAGTCTTGAACCCATCCAACTGTATTATTCCACCTTCATACTATGCTAGTCCAGCCCCCTTGCACCTAGACCATTGCAGTACCCCAATAGCAAATCTGTATCCTGCACCACTACATCATAAAAGGAATTTAATCATACATCCTACAGCCTTCAATGATTTTATGAGGCATGCAGACCTCCAGTTGTGTCCTGTCTTCCACTTACTATGATTTTGTGTTTGAATAGTTAGTTATCTAACAGCCTACAAAGAGGACTAAATGAGAAAATATGGTGCTCTCTGGTGATCTGGTCTGTAGGAAGATGTGCTACTAACCCAGTGGTCATAGTTCTCATGGGTTCAAATCCACTAGAGTATGAATGAAGGTGAAATGAGAGAACACATGTGAAATCAAAGAAGTCATAATTGTTCTTATTGTTGAGTGTCTTCTAGTCAGAACTGACCCTTAGCTGAACTTCCATCAGGATTTCAGAGACAGTAAGTCACACAGGAGATTCTCCATCCTTCTTCTGTGGAGCAGCTAGCAACTGCTGGATTTGAACCTTGTGCTTTTTTGGGATTGTTGCGTAGCTTCTTACACTAGACCACCAGTGCTCTAAGTCATAAGTACTATGATCCTGTTTGTATAAAATGTGCCAAAGTTATATATTATGTCTAGATACAGCTCTTTCAATGATTTCATTTATTATAATGGATCTATAATTCTATATGCATGTCATAAAAAGTTGGGACTATATAATAACAAAATTTTAAATGATTGTCTCTGAGTGATGGGAATGTAGGCACTTTTCCCTTTTACTTTATTCTTTTTATTTTTCTCTGTTGTGAAAACAATGTATGTGTATGTTTTTCAAAATAAAAAAGAACTTTTCCCCTGATAATATCAGATCATTGTAAATGAGTTTTAATTACTTTTAATTACCTATACATTTTATGCCTTTCATTCTTGGAGATAGTTCTGTTAATAGTTTGGTATTATCCTTCCAGTCTTTCTAACTAAGCACTTGGCTACAGACCTTTGCACAGGTTCCTCTGTGTATGGATTGCACTTCAACCTCAACCTCTTCCTCTTTCTACACTCATTTTTATCATCTACCCAGTTGAATTCCTAGTTGTCTTTCATGACATTACTCAAGCATGTCTTTCTTTTATATCCTTGATCCTCCAAACTTCATTCCAAGATAGGGTGAATTATGCTTGTATCTACCAATTGGTAGCACCTTTTACACCATATTATGGAATCCATGATTTTCTCATCTTTTTCCCCCCATTAATGACTTTCCTTGAGGTCAAAATATGTATCTTAATTATCTGCTTTCTGAGCAATTAGCACTATGGTTAGCACCCAATAAGAAGTTGAGTAAATTAAAATGATTCATTTTATCAGTAAGGAAAAGAACAAGTATTTTCAAAGTGAGCCTTGATTTCTTCTCTGAAATGCCTTTTTCTCCTCACAGACTGATTTTCTGCCACCTCACAGCTTCTTGTGGTAGGGACTTCTCCTTAGTATTTGAAACCAACCAGTATATGACAGATTTGGAATTTGTAAAAAATACCCTGGAAGATTCGGGAGTGAAGCTTCTCTGTGAAGGACTGAAACAACCAAACTGTATGTTACATTCATTGAGGTAACTGATAGCTGTAGAATATCTTGTTTATGTGCCTACCAATTTTTTTGTTAATTTCTGTTTATTTGGAGGGGGTGGAATATATGAATAAGGAAATGAGGTCCTTCTTCTGTTCTCTGAAGGTTGTACAGATGTCTTATCTCCTCTGCTTCTTGTGGGGCACTAGCAGCTGTTCTTAGCACCAGTCAGTGCCTCACCGAGTTGGAATTTTCTGAAACAAAACTGGAAGCTTCAGCTTTGAAATTTCTCTGTGAAGGCTTAAAAGACCCAAATTGCAAATTACAGAAGCTCAAGTAAGTTGTTAGCGTCTATTCTGCAAGAAAAAATTTTTTAAATTATTGTCTTATCTAGTGCTGCTTTGACAGAAATCCACAAGTGTGGTATGGCTTCAAAAAACAGACATTTATCCTTTAACAGTTAAGGAGGGTAGAAGTACAAATTCAGGGCACCACTTCTAGAGGAAGCCTTTCTCTGTGTCAGCTCTGCATGAAAGTCCTTATCTCCTTTCAATATCTGTGGGACTGGCATTCCTTGGAGATCATCATGTGTTTTGGTATCAATCTTCCCCTGGATCTAGGAGCTTCTCAGCACAGGGATCCCAGTCTAAAGGATAAGTTCTGCTCCTGAGTCTTCTTTCTTGGTAGTAATAAGTCTTCCTCTCTGTGCTCACTTCTCTCTCCCTATCTCTGATTAAGATAAAAGGTGTTTTAGGCCATACTTCAGGGTAACTCCCTGTCCATGCATCAGATAGACTGATTTAGAGTGTTACATCCAACTTTAATCACTTTATGCTGGATCAGGACTGAAGCCTGATTTTAAGAGTGTTGCATCCCATTTTAATTCACTTACATCAAATCACACCATGGGGGAAGATTATGCCATTTTTAACCTGCCTTTTTCATCCATTCCATGACTGCTTAAAACATGATTTAGTCAAGTGGACACACATTGTAGAGGGGCACAATTCAATCAATGACAATTATACTATTTGATGAAAGGCATTGTAAAAATTATTACGAGAAACCGTGTATGGATGTTAAGAGAATAAGATTTGATTAAAAGATAATATGTATTAGAAGTTCCTAGAGGATTAACTGATTAATATTTTATTTTTTAAAAATCATTCCTATTCTGTACCTTCTTAGAGGTGAAATATTTTATTATGTACTTTTTGCATTCTATATGTATTGATTTTTTCTTTTTGCTCATCACTTAATATATAGTCAATTAGCTTAATTCCCTAATTTTCATTGTTATGCCAAATTTTAATTCTTTTCTACCTCTGTGTTTTTATTAGTGTGCGTATAATTATTCATGTACATTTTGTTTCATTCATGTACATAGTGGGGTTTTTTTCTCTGTGTGTATGTTCCACATTTTCCTTCACTGACGATATATTTCATACAATCATTCCTATGTCTTGTGTTTTCTAAAATGAATCACCATTGGAAATGTTCTTGTGGTTACTCATATCAGCATTTTCTTTTTCCATTTTTACAATATATTTTTTAAACAATGAGGACCAAATCCAATATATTAAAATTATTGTTAGGAAGAAAACATATTGCAGGAAGTCATGGAGAGGGAGAATGAAAGTGGTTGTTGTTGTTATGTGCCGTTGAGTAGCTTGCGACTCATAGCGACCCCATGTACAGTAGCCTGTCCTATGTACTCTGCTCTGTCCTATGCCAATCCTACTGTCTCCGATACACTAATCCCAAATACCCCAGTCACTGAATCAGTCCACCTCATAGATGGCCTTCCCCTCCTGCGCTGTCCCTCCACCCTACCCAGCATGATGTCCCTCTCCAAGGACCTGTCCCTCCTTACAACATGTCCATAGTATGTTAGACGGAGCCTCAGAATCCTTACCTCCAAGGAGCCGCCTGGTTTAACCCTTTCCAGAATGAATCTGTTTGTTTTCCTAGCAGTCCATGGTATTCTCAATACTCTTCTCCAGCACCACAGCTCAAAGGCATCAATTCTCCTTCTATCCTCCTTGGTCATTGTCCAACTTTCTGATGCATAACAAGTGATTGCGAAGACCATGGCCTGTATCAGACGCACCTTAGTCTCCAAAGAGATACCATTGCTCTTCAGCACTTTGGAGAGGTCCCTAACAGCAGATTTTCCCATGGCAATATGTCTTTTAGTCTCCAAAAATAGCCCCATGGGACAAACTCAGAGAAATTTAATTTTAATTGTCAGTTACATTAATGACAATCCTATGCTCACTTATCACCTACTGACATGGTTAGTATCCAAGTTTACCTGTGCAAAAATCTACTTCATATGAAAATAGAGGATGATCACATATCAGATCACAAAACAGAGGATGGCTATATAGGTGTTAAATTACATAATTACATAACTATCTAACTATAGAGAAGCATCACCCAGCCAAGTTGATATATAACCTTTACCAGATGTACATCATTAATGTGCAAAATAATAATATAATTGATTTTTTACTATGGTCAGATATCAGATAATAGTTGATAAATGAATAACAGTTGTAATAATACAGCCTATTGCACACTTCCTTTGTCCTAAGCATGGTGTTGAATAATTTGTAGAAATGATCTCTTTATTTTCCACAACTACTCTGAGTGGTCCAGATTATTATCCACATTTTAGCAGATGAAGAAATTGAGACCTAACATCATATGGCTAAAAAATTACAAAGATACAATTTGAAACCTAGATAAGCTTGACTTCCAGGCCAATTGTAAGTACCATAATCAAAGTATTGTCATTATGTGTATGTGGGTTTTTTAAACAAAAGTTCCTTAGCACTAAAGTTTTTTTAAATCAACTTTGAAAACTTGCTTTATACATAGTGCCTCTATTTAAAACTTCTAAATTGGGAGCTATAAATACATCTCATGAGCTCTCTTTAAACAGAATTGGAGCCTTGTAACTCAAAAGACAGTTGAGGACTCAAAGGCTCTAGTGCATATCACAGAAATTCTTGGAAATGATGGAAGGAAAAGTTGATGGTAAATGATTCAAGGAGTTAGACCAATAGGGAGAAACAGACTGAGAAAATAGAAAAGGCAGCAAAAATCTTTTATCAAAAAAAGTGGAATATTTATGTGAATGATGGTGATGGGTTGGGTCTCTCTAAGGATAGCACATAAGATTATTAATAATTTAGAAAATAGAAATTAATAAAGATTTAGAAAAGAGAAAAGGAGAGATCTTTTGACTTGAAATTTTTTAAAGGATGATCACAGAAGTTCTCTTTCTCTCAGTCAGCCAGCCTACCTTTATTGAGTGTCCACTATATAGACTATACCCACATTGTTTTGGATGCATTGCACAAATCCTTCTAATGTGGGCCAGGAAACTGACATTCTCAGAGTTGGGGGTGGTGGTGGTTTGTATCAGTGAGTCTTTACAACTACATCCATAGGGATGTAGTTCGAATCTACCAACTGCTCTATGGGAAAAAGAAAAGCTGTCTCCTCCTGTGTGATTTTAGTACCTCTGAAAACTCACTGGAAGTTCTGACTTGACAATACACAACAACAACATACAGCATTATTGGCAGGGAATTATTAAGACGCTAAAGTAGCCAATTCTATCTCTGTATGTCTTTCCTTCCAGGTTATGTGCTAGCTTTCACCCAGAACATTCAGAGGTTATTTGCAAGTACCTTGCCTCTGTTCTCATTTACAAGTCAAAACTCATTGAGCTAGACCTGAGTGAAAATCCTCTGGGAGACACAGGGGTGAAGTATCTTTGTGAAGGCCTCAGCCATTTCAACTGTAGAGTGGAGAAGCTAGAGTAAGTATCTTAGAACTATCTAGCATCATCTTAAAACTATTAAACTTGTTGAGTGCCTGCTATGTGCCAGACTCCATGTTTGGTACTTCTCAGAAATTATATATCTTTATTTACTACATACATTAATCATATAAGCATATAAGATGGATTTTTTTTAAATCCCCATTTTATAGGTAGAGACTGAGGCTCACAAAAGCTAAGTAATACAGCCAGAAATGTCTTCAAATCTCATACTCTTTCCAGTATACGACAGCCCTAGAAATTTACACAAATGATACTAAATAATACTAAATAGATATAGAATACCTACTATACACACAAAACTGGGATAGATATGAATGGAATTATCAGAACTCCACAAGAGTCACAAGTTACAAGGCTGCCCTTAAGGGTACACAGATATGAAAGAATTTTAAAGTAACACAATTCAATGTGTATGGAATTATTTAGAAATGCCAGATGAGCCAAGGGCAGAGAAGGAGGTCACTGTTAGCTGCCGACATCAGGAAGAAACTCTGTAAATGAAGTAGGGGAAGAGCTAGAACTTAAAAGATGTCTGGGACTCAGCTAAGTGAGGAGGTTGGGAGAACATTCTCCGGAAACCAATATGACAGCAATGGCTGATTTTTCTTTTCTTTCTCTCTGGGTAGCTTAAGCACATGTAACCTCACAGATGCTAGCTGTGTGGATCTCTCTTCTTTTTTGCGAGTGAGTCAGTCTTTAAAAGAACTGTTTGTGTTTGCCAATCCCCTGGGGGATAAAGGAATACAGCTTCTCTGTGAAGGTCTGCAGCGAAGACGTTCAACGGGTATAATTGAGAATCTTGTGTAAGTGGTTTTTTGGTTCTTGCCATTCTCACAGGCTTTGGCATTTAGGGTTCAGTGGAACTCCCTGCTGCCCATTGTTAACAGCTATCCTGGTGTCTCTATCCTTTTAGGCTTTCTGAATGTTCCCTCTCTGCTGCTTGTTGTGAGCCACTTGCCCACATCCTAAGTACCACCCGTAGTCTAACAAGGCTGCTTCTAATTAATAACAAAATTGAAGACTCAGGACTGAAACTGCTGTGTGAAGGACTTAAACTGCCTGATTGTCAGTTGAAGGATTTGGCGTAAGTATTGTAGACTTGAGTCAGAGAAAGAGTTTTCCATTTCAGTAATATCCCAAAATTAAAGATTTGACAGTTGCATCTCTGAGGGAGCAGTAAATGAAGCAGTAAGTACATGCGGGGAGTAAATCTATTCCTTCTAACAGTCACCTGGCCTGGCCCATTGGTTTACTTTCTTTTTTTTCTTTCCTTTTTTACCTTACATGGTAAAGTGCTTTCCTAGTGGGCAAACACAATTCCTTAAGCGACTCAGAACAGATGAAATGATGCCAGCCTTCTCTACCTTATTTCCTGGCAGATTGTGGACTTGTCACCTAACTGGAGCATGTTGTCAGTATTTGTGCAGTGCACTCTCCATCAATGAAACTCTGAGAGACCTTGACCTCAGTGACAATGCCTTGGGGGATGATGGCATGCAGGTGCTGTGTGAAGGGCTAAAACATCCTGGCTGCAAACTACAGACCCTGTGGTAAATTTATAGGAACTTTAGCTATTGGGTTCCAGGTTGTATTTGAAATGGAAAATCAGTATGGAACTTGGGATAAAACTTTTTTTCCCTTAAATCCCTACTCCATTATAGGTTAGCAAAGTGTCATCTCACAGATACGTGCTGTGAAGCCCTGGCCTCTGTCCTAAGCAGAAATGAGAACCTGACATTGCTAGACATAACTGGAAATGACTTCAGGGATTTTGGAGTACAGATGTTGTGTGATGCACTGATTCATCCACTATGTAAACTACAGACATTCTAGTAAGTTACCGTGGTCAGGGCAGTGACACCAGAACAGACATGTTGGGTTTGGTCATACCCCATTGCAGTGAAGAGAAGAATACTTGGTGGTAGGGCAAGCCTAGGCAAAGCAGCAAAAGCAGATTATATTACCAATAGGCCTTTCTTCTTAAGACACAGGAGTAGAGAGAGAGAGAGGCAGAAACTAGGCATATCTTATTGCTAAGGGAAGCAAATTAGAGTTGTTGTTGTTGTTGTTGTTGTTATGTGCCGTCGAGTCGTTTCCGACTCATAGCGACCCTATGCACAACAGCCCTAAACCCTGCTCTATCCTGCGCCAACCGCACTGCCTCTGACACACCCATCCCGATTACCCCAGTCACTGAATCGATCCATCTCATAGAGGGTCTTCCCCTCCTGCGCTGTCCCTCCACCCTCCCAAGCAAATTAGAGTAGGAAAAAGAAATGTACAGGATCTAGATTCCACTCAGCCTGCCTCAAATCCTAAGTGAAGCATTTACTAGCTGCATAACCATGGACAAGTTGCTTAACTTCTCTGAACTTCAGTATCCTTATCTGTAACATAGGCTTATACTAGTAACTGACCACCTGGAGGTTAATGTGCGATTGCAATATTTATGAATGTTCCTAGTGCAATCCCTGGCACACAGTAGGCAATCAACAAATGTTAGGCCCTTTTCCATTTTTCCTCTTCTGACATCTGCTAGGGGGCATTTTGAGAGTTTTCAAGGCTCAAAGAGATGAAGCTGTAATGGTACAATTACAGAAGGTGGTGGTTTTGACTCTCTCTGGTCAGTGTCTGCTGCCAGCTCAGCAGGTTGGCGTGACACACAAAGTAATTCTTAATTAGGATACAACTGTGCTCTGTTGGCAGATAACCAGTGGCCAAATGACCATTTGTTTCTGGCCTTCAGAACTGGAACACATAATGGAAAGTAAAAGCTGAGTGCAAAAATTTCCCAATCCAAAGTCAATTTAATAGATTGAAGCTTAAATGAAAACAGCATAAAGGCCTGATTACAAGGCTGGCTGAAACAGAAGCTGGGTCTCTACCAGCTAAGTGAACCTTGTTTCAGATGTCCAAGAATGCAGTCATTACTGCTAAACAGAGGGAATTATTTACCACATGGTAGGCCTCAGAAGTCAAAGTCCTCCATGGAGTATTTCTCAGAAAGAGGCAGCTGGAGTTTTTATTGTCAACAGGTTGAAATATATTCAACAACCAACCTTAATGTTTCTATAAATGGAGAGTTATTTATTGTTGTAGCATTCCTCAGCATGTATGCTGCAGCAAAAGTCATAAATGACCACAAAGAGAAATAATTTTGTTTTCAATGGTATGCCGTTATTTGTTGTTTTATTGTAAAATCATGGCACCATTTCCTATTTCTTTTGAGCTCTCTTTGCCTTTTAACCAGTGTGCTTCCATTTCTATTTTCAGGCCAACCCTCAAACCTTAATAGCTTACAATCAAAAGTCACACCCCCCCCAGCAGAATGAATAAGAATAGACATAATTCACTGGCCTTCAATACATTGTGGATATTAGAATGCATATGAGACAACTGAAATAAATAAAAATCCATTCATATACAAGTAAGACAAGAGAAAGATATGAGAAAGATAAGGTTTGAGAGGTGGAATGAATCCACGATTGCCTCCTAGAAAGGGTGGTTTTCTCTGGAGATTTAAAAGGCTTCAGGAAGGTTATTTCCTAAGCACTGATTGAGCACAGGGTCTGAATCTAGTTCCTCATGACATCTCTTGTTTCCCCCCCCTCTGTTTTGTAATCATGACTTTTTTTAAAAAAAATACATATTTCCTTTTTATTGTTGAGAATCCACGATCTCTACATATGTGCAATTCAGAGACATTGCTTATATCCTTCAAGTTGTATAGCCATTCTCACCCTTCTCACTACATCATGTATTGTTAACTTCCTGACACAGTGCTTTGCATATTGTACATACATATAGGAGACCAGTAGGTAATTTAGAACATTTAGGATCAAGGCAAGGAGACACCTGATGGTGCATTCAATAAAAACTAGATGTCCAGACATTGACAAGATCAAGGGGAAAGATGAAATTGTATCCCAAGACTAACAAAGCATACCTTCATTTATTCAATAGGTACTTACTTGCTGAATACCTCTTATGTGCCAGGCATTTGTACCAGGTGTTTGAGAGGAAAGGATGAGTAGACATGATATAGGATCAGTGTTCATGAACTGGTAGGTCTAATGGTAGAGAGAAGTACATGTGCTGATTATCCTTATAAAATAAGGTTGATTATTCTATTACAAGATCTTAAGAGACTCATGGCATGGGGTGCTTAATCTAGCCCCAGATGATCAAGAAAATCTTCTTGGAGCACAGGCCCTATTGCCAGGGAAATTTGCAGTAAAGATAGAGAAAAGTTGTTCATATTAAGAGACAGCATCAGCCAAGGTGTCATTGTTTAGGAAGCATTAAGTTTCTGATTCAACTTTCCCTCTCCCTCCCTGAAACACCCTGTTAATTCTTTAACACCACCAAACTGCTTGAAGACCTCTCACTTCTAACTCCATCGCATAAAAGAAATTAAATTCTTTAATCAAGAATTAAAACCAAATATATATTGAGTTGAGTTTGAAGTGTTTGTGGGACAGTCAAGGGAAATTTTTAATAGGTACATAGTTGCATGTAGGAAGAAAGAGATTCTCTAGGAAGAGTGACAAAGAAGAACAACTGAGTAATAACACTGAGGATTAGCCCTGAACATTACATCTTTTAAGAGATGAGCATAGGAGGAAAATTGCATAAAGTATACCAAGAAGGTGGAAAGGTCAGAATGGTGTGCAGAGAACTGGGAGAGAATGGTGTGTTGCCAGTAAAGGGGAAAAGAGAATTTCAAGGAGGAATTGCTCACGTGTAGCAGAGAGGTTCAATAGGATGAGTACTGAGAAAGATCTGATGAATTTAGGAGACCATCAATTAGAAGGACATTAATGACCTCTCCTAAGATTGTTTTAGTAATGGGGTGGGGCCAGAAACCAGATATAGTGACTTAGAGAGATCGGGAGTAAAACCAACTTTTTAAAAAAAGAAGTTTGTAACAGAAGAGGAGAGATGTGGGCTAGAGTTAAATTGTGGACTTAGAGGAAAAAGGCAGTTGTTCTTGTTCCTTTTCATTTTCACCTTGTTTTGAGATATGCATTCTTGTAAGCTGAAAGAACAGAGCCCACAGAGAGGGAGAGGTTGCATATATAGGAGTGGAAACTGGATCAGGGCGTTGGTCAAAGCAGGGCCAGTAGTGAGGAAGGGATATAGAACTGAGAATCCAAGAGGAGGGTTTTATATTTTAACTTTGGAGTTCAAAGAAAGGGACTAGATAGATAAAGTGGTACCATGGATCAGCATGAATGGGAATCTTACCCAAAAGAATAGGAGAGCTACTGCAGGCATCTGTTGACTTGGCTTAATACAGATTTCCCACCCTCCTCCTTTTTTACAGCATTGACACAGATCATTTACATGAAGACACAGTCAGAAAGATGGAAGCATTAAAAACAAGTAAGCCTGGAATTAACTGGTAATTTTGAAGGCAAGCCTCTCTGAAAAGATTGACTGGATAGATACTCCTATCTAACACCACCTTTAACGGCTGTGCAATATTTGTGTTTTAAACCTGTTAACTTTTGCCGGGGACACTAGTGCAAAATAAGCAGCAGTGATTTCTATCCCTTATATAGCAGAAGCACCTTAATTCAGTTGTCCTCAGCAGTGATAATATCTTATGTTCTTATATTTGGTTACAATGCTCATTTGTTGTTGCAAGAACTTCTAAATTGGGAACATGAGGCTCAGAGAAGTTGTGACTAGTTGCAGATCACATAGCTAGTTGGAGAGTTGGGGTTGGAAACTAGCCATTTCTCTCAACTACCAGACAATGAAGTGGGGAAAAAGATATGTGTATAAGTCAAAGAAGCAATTTATATGGCATGATTAAAGAATAAGAAAGTATACAAACACATGCTATATCTTATGGTGCTGATTTTAAGTATAACTGTAAAATTTGAGAAAGAAACACAATGAGCTGGAATAATAGGGAAAGATTTCATGGAAGAAGCCAAACTTGATGTGGACCCATCTCAAGTAGACTTAAAAGAGGTGGAGAATCACTGGCCATCCTGATGCTACCAATTGGTCCAGTGGTGAGAATCTTTGTCTTCTTGACATTGAGCCTCAATCCATACTAAAGGCTGCAGTCCTTGACCCTCTGCAGCAAGTGCACGAAGTCCTCCTCAGTTTCAGCAAGCAGGGTTGTGTCACCTGCATAACGCAGATTGTTAATAGATCTTCCACCAATCCTGACGCCACACTTCTCCTCATAGAGCCCAGCTTCTTGGATAATCTGCTCTGCATACAGGTTGAAAAGGTATGGAGACAGGACACATCCCTGGCATACACCCTTCCCAATTTTGAACCATGCAGTGTTTCCTTGCTCTGTTCTGATGACTGCCTCTTGGTCCAAGTATAGGTTATATTTCACACAATCATTCCTATGCCTTGTGTTTTCTAAAATGAATCACCATTGGAAATGTTCTTGTGGTTACTCATATCAGCATATTCTTTTTCCATTTTTACAATATATTTTTTAAACAATGAGGACAAAATTCAATATATTAAAATTATTGTTAGGAAGAAAACATATTGCAGGAAGTCATGGAGAGGGAGAATGAAAGACCTGAACACTTGTGGTAACTTTCATTGTTTCTCCCATCACAATACGTTTTTTGATTTCCTGGCTGTTGGTGCCAAGAGTGTTGACTGTGGAGCTGAGCAAACTGAAGCTGTGAACAATCTCAATCTCAGTCTCTTCACCATCCCCCCGCCCCCCCAAAAAAAAAGCTGAAGGAGAGAGATGTCTTTGTATTAGAATTTTATGAGAGTATACACTTCAGTCCCCAGTTTCAATTCCCTTTCTGAACTTTTGATACCTCCCCAGTGTATTTATATTTGTTCACATTCACATGCCCCACCTCTGACAGCACCTTGCATAGCTTAGCACAGATCCTCTGCTTCTTGCCTAACGTCCATGGAACACTGATTGAGACAAGTGGAGAAAAGGAATGCCAGACCAGGAAAATAACACAAGTCAGTACAACAGGAATGGATATGATGTGAGTTCAATGGAAAGTAGGCTGACCTGTTCTGATATTGAGTTGTCACTGGAAATTGCTTAACTTTTTTGTCAAAGCCCTGAATTCTTGGATTTTTAGAACTTCTGTTTTCTCAACTATAAAATGAGGATAATTGACATGAGTTTGCAGGACTGTTGTTACCAACATGGTACCTACCACACATTAGGTATTAACTGATCATGGTAGCTATTTTTTTATTGACACCATGATTACAGCAATAGGCACAAGTTTGTGAGGATGGCACAGGAACAGGCAGGAATTAGTTTTGTTGCATATAGGGTTCCTTTGACTTGGAGTCCACAGGATGGCATCTACAAACAACAGCAACTTGTAATAGAACTCAGTCATGTCATCTTTGAGCTCCCAGGTTTTCTTGCTGTGCAACTAATATGTACTGTGAATCTGTATGAAATAAAGTGCACCGGAGGCAGTGAATCAGGTGGGGAAAGAGACACACAGTGAGAAGTTATTCCAGATAAGTTGTAGAAGAGCCTAGCTAATACATTTTCTCATTCACATTGTATACAAGCATATTTTGTTCCTCACTTCCCTGGAAGATGGGAATTCTCAGTAAGGAGGCCAGGAAAAAAAATTCTTAAGATAGAAGTTTGTCTCCAGGTTTTTTCAAGATCTTTCAGCTCTTCTAACATATATTCATTTACTGTGTGCCAGGTTTTTTGCTGTGTTGATTTTACCGAGATGAATATGTCTTTCCTTATGTACTTTCCCTACTGTGTTCACGGAT